ATGTTTCATTATTATTATTATTATTATTATTATTATTATTATTATTATATATTTTTCTTTTTTTTTTAATTTATTTGGAAGTAGACCAATAATACAAGGCTTTTTTGTCCCCTTTCTTTTAGAGCGTGCGAATATAATTTTTTCTTAAAAATTTTATCTCATGAAAAGTTAAAAAGAATAATTTTACATAAATTGAGAGAAATCTGAAATTGTGAACACATATGACATAAAAATATAATGATCAGAGTATATTGATAAAAAAATGTAATAGAAGTTTAATTGATAGTTATAATAACTATAAATACGTGATTAATGAACAGTTGTTTTTGTTGGAAAATAATAATAATAGTAATCTATATTATAATTATATTAATTAATATGATTGTAGAGAAAAAAAATGAAAGTGTGAGACAAACTAAATAGTTTAATGAATTTTTTATATTTATTTTCAATTTTATTGACATAAAATTTTATAATTTTGTTAAAAATATTGTATTCAATGACCAAAACTTGTCCTGTATCCAATAGCCACTCGAGTTTCTAGTTTCTACCAAAACTTGAGTGTCCATGTGCACATACCAGCAATAAACGACAATATTGTCCCAAGTCTTGAAAATTGCAAGGATAAAAGAATCCTTATTCGGTTATTCCATTTCCAGTGTCCCATCTGTTAAGCAAAGATGAAATTATCCAACATGTTTATCTTTGTCCATCGCAAACTCACACAAAATATCATTATAAGTGCCAACTTCAATAAAAATGTCTAATCTAATCATCATAAAAAGGACATGCACTGAGCTCATAAAATAATCTAATGGAGAAGGGCAGTGATTTTGATACAATCAAACAAAGCCTCATATGTCAACTAAGATGCTTCCAGAGACCGACTCACAGAAAAATTCGGAGATTAAAAAAAAAAAAAATTGAAACCATCATTTCAAGCCAATGCTGTCAGTTTTCGATTTGGGAGTGATCTCTGGCAACTTTATTCGACAAACGTAAAACAAGTCGACTTGCTGCCGTTCTTACACATTTGGGGGTGGCCAAATCTTTCCAAACAATTCTTCCACGCGTTCTGATTGGTTCGAGTAGCCATTGATTCCAGCAGTTAGTAGCTCAGTGGCTGCGGGGCCCAAAGCCGAGGCGAAGCTATACTGGTCCCACTTAACAAGCTGAAATTTTGAAAATCGGGCACAAACACATAGATAGATAGATATTCAGCACGGCCCAATAGTTAATTTGAGTTAAAAATGGTCAGAAACATAGAGAATAGAAGAGCCCTTGCGATTAATTTTCTTCCCTGCCGTAAGCAACAACAAATTCCCGTGGTATATATCTTTCTGGTAATGTCTTCAGCTGTAATGCAAGAGGAAGTTCGACACAAGACTTGGGAAAAAGATTTAGTTTTCGATATTAGATCCCTCAAGGTTCTAGGATTTAGAACATTGAACAGTTCAAAACTGGACAGTTCAAAAGCTGCTTATGTAATTAATCCTTAGCTCTTTGAAGGCCTGATATACGTGTGACTCATGATCTAAAACTAACCAAGAGTAAGCCGTAAGTGCTGAAGAATAATCTAGATCCATGTTGATCATTTTCTTGGCGAAGGACTATCGCGTTTATATGTAGTGTAATTGCAATAACTGCAACTGTAGAGTCAGAAAAACATTTGTATAAAAAGACAAAAGATCGTAGACAAATACTTGCAGCCGGTTCAAGATTGTTCTCTATAGTGATTACATTTCAATCTCGGGAGAGATACTCATGCTTTAAAGAATTTTATAAAGCTCAAGGATCATGATTGAATTGAACTTCTATAACCAACGTGAAACTATTGAAATACTTGAACACTATCAATATGACATGCAGCTAAAAGTAGAGAAAATGTAATGCTTAGCTCAAGCGGTACCTCTCACCCTTAATAATGGCGTTGCACCGATTGATATGTAACTTGCAGTTTGTTAGGACTTAGTAATTTAGATTCCCCTCCCCCATAGACCCCCGTAAAATTAAAAACTAAAAATAAAAATAATAAATAAAAATGGTTGATATCATGTAAACCATTGTAGTGTTTGAAACAGTGTTTTCCTTTTCCTTTGTAATTTAGTATTTCTTGTATTTATTACCAAAAAACTTAAAGACCAGCATTGAAGAAAGCTAACCTCTTCATCTCTAAAAGTGTAGGAGGCAGCAGATTGTGTGGACAATCGCCTCATGAGAGAATATTTCTCATCGGGAGGAGTTACAGATTCCTTTAGAGACTGCAATATCTTCAACGGGGAGATAATGTAGTCAACCCTGTAATATCAATCATTACGTTCAAGTAACTTATATTCAATGAGAAATCAGTATGCCTATGCGAGGATGATTATTACCCTAACAGGTTAAAGACATCCTGCTTGTTACGAATTGCTGCAGCCATCAATCTTGATTTGTGCCCATACTTATGGATGTAATTGTAGGCTTTTGTAACCTGACATGACACAGTCAAAGGTTATATACCACATAGCAGTTTAGAGTTCTACTTTTTCCTTGTACAGACAAACAAAAACAATAAACAGAGATGAACCAGGATCTATCAATTACAGCAATGCATGTAGGCTAGTTCAAGATTTATTTTGTAAGAACTAATCAGAAAAAAAGATTGAAGCTACATCTAGAAATCAGTTCAACACCATACATAATTGTTAGGCTTTTACTATTGAACTTCAGTGGAAGAAATTGCAAAAGGGTATTGTACCACTTACTGTCCACATGGGAATGCACTTGCGTACAAGCTTCTAGTTCTTCGTTATCAATGACTTTGTGAAATTAACAATTAAAAATATGGTTGGAATTAGGAGACAATTCACATATAACATTCGATGGAAAAGTTGGAGCTAGTAGAACTGACCAAAGCCAAACCAGGATCTTCTCCTCTTCTAAGAGCAGCTTCTACTTCAGAATCACCAGTATGGTTCCTTGCCCAATCCTAACAAAAGACATGCCCTCATTATAACCCGAGTAAAAAGTTTCCATCAAAGCACAAATTCTTTCAAGAAGGAATTACCCTAAGCCGACCAACAAAAATTTGAATAACAGAAGCACCCGCTTGAGCTGCAGCTGCAGCTTGACAAAAGCTGTAGATACGAAAGCTACAGTGTTAAAATGCTTTACCAGAAAGAATACGGCAGTTAAAAGTAGGCAATGTTACAGCGCAAAAACATTTAACGCATAAGAAACAGAAATCACAACCTCTCATGAACATTATCAAACCAGTAATTTTAAGTTGCCAGAATTAACATGAAAGAATAGTAAGTTTTGATGCATTTAATCTCAGCTCGCCAGCTCTTCAGCAAATGGTATGACCAACACTTCCATAGTTGACCAGAGTGTTGACGTCCCTGTTTCTTGTGTCAGCCTAGTAATATCAATTCTACCAAAACAATATTCAAACAGCGTGAAGCTTCAAAGTTTCTCAAGCTATTTTACTTGATCATACAAGTTTGCTAAAACTAAGAGAGAATGCATAGAGTAGAGAAGAGAAGGATGTGTCTTTTCCATTGCTCTTAATAGTGAGATTACATCCAATATATAGAGGTTGCAAAAAATCTAAAACAAATCAAGATCAAATCCAATATCTAATTACCAAAATAACTACATCATATCAAACCAAAGATATTTTAACAAAATAACTAAAGACTATCTTAACACCCCCTCAAGTTGGTGCATGAAGATTTCGAATGCCCAACTTGATTAGAAATTTCGAGAAATCCTGGCCACCCAATGCTTTGGTGAAGATGTCGGCTAACTGAGCTTCGGTAGAAACACAATCAGGAGCGATAAGTGGACCGAAGGATTGAAGGACTGAAGAAGAGAGGACAAAGGACTTGATCATTTATATTTAATATCCAAAGGATGGAAGGACCGAAGGAATGAAGGACTAAAGGACAGAGGACAAATGACTTGATCAATTGTATTTAATCATCTAAGAACCCATCTAATGGAGGACGAATTGAACCATCTAAGAACCAGAATATTTTTTCTTTTTTCCGTGCCCGGAGAGGAGTCCGGAGAGAAGAAGACATGATTGAAAAAAATATATATATTAATCAGAACAGCGGTGGTGAAAAACCGTGGCTCTGATACCATGCTAAAACTAAAAGAGAATGCATAGAGTAGAGAAGAGAAGGATGTGCATTTTCCATTGCTCTTAATAGTGAGATTACATCCAATATATAGAGGTTGCAAGAAATCTAAAACAAATCAAGATCAAATCAAATATCAAATTACCAAAATAACTACTACTGAATCAAGATCATATCAAACCAAAGATATTTTAACAAAATAACTAAAGACTATCTTAACAAAGTTTTTATATGTTCTTGCAATAATGAATACTATACACATAATTTAAAGAGTACTTCTTGATGTCACAAGTTCTTCATTGTAACACAAACTTTAAAATTCCTCGTTAATAATTATCATAACTTTTGAAGCTCCAAAATCAATGTGTGTAACGAATAACTTACCCAAAAAAAATTCTAACCTGGCCATAAAGACCAATTCTGAATTTTCACTGAGCAATTTCAACTTAAATATAGTATTGATGTATACCTGTAAACTAGAGTCATATGTGTCTGTATACCTTCTGACTCCAGCAACCTCGATGCTTCGATTCCCTAGAAAAAGAATAAAATGTAAACAAAGGGTTATTGTCACAACGTATCAGACAAGAAGTGTTAGTTTGATAGTCAGACTTTCTATTAAGGATGTGAAGTTTGTAGAAGGTCCAACACTAACTTGCCAAGTTGAAGGAATTTTGAACAACAATCGCTCTGGAGGTACGCCGATTTCATGATACAACTTCAAAAGATGGTGCACCTGAAATCGAGTTCAATCATTGTTTGTAAGAAGGTGGAACGTAAACTACACAACAAAGCTTGCATATATACATACATGGTTTGTTCACAATATTTTGACCACTGCAAGACAATTTTGGTTCTTAAAAGCAACAATATGTAGCAAAATCCATGGTCGTGTACATCGCTGCAAGGCATGGTCCTTAAAAGCAAAGACTATGTAGCAAAATCCATGGTTGTAGAAGTACATTTGAACAAAATGGAAAGATATGCCATGACCCTTTACTGCTTTACAGTCACAAAGAAAACGAGGGAGAATCTTGCCCATGAGGGAGAATCTTGTTCAATTTTAATTCCGTCAAATGAACAAAACATCATTCAGTTCTTAACCCGTTGCAACCTTTACTCCAACAGAACCAGTGATGTTTTTGTTAAAGCTCACAAATTATTGAAAGTTTGAGATACAGTAACAATTAAGGTAAAAATAACAGATATGCACTAAGAGCAGAAATCACAAAGTTTCAATTGATTAAGTCGAGACAGAAAAAAGATGCAAAACAATATATTACATATCTTAAAGGGAATGGTCACCTTACGAACAATGGCGTGTGTATCATATGCCAGACGAGCATCAACTTCAGTAGAAACACGACCAGGTACAAGCTTCGCAAGATCACCTCCAATATTTACCAAAGCCTATTATTTCACATATCAATCATCACATAGTCCAGGAATAAAGAAGATATCCTTTAATGACATTCACAATTTCTAGTATCAAACCTTGTTGAAGAAGCAAGCCATCCGATCATCTGATTTCTCCAAATTGTAACACACAGAATCAGCCAGTGCAGTGTCGACAGCACTCTAAACCGCAGAAAAAAATAAAAAAAACATTATTAGTTGAAATCAAAGAAGATGTAAGATCTACGTACATCCTTCTCTACCGTCAACAAATGTCAAGTTGTTGTCATCCTATTATATATGGTACATATATTGAAACACTCCGTCATTTAAAAAATAAATGTGTCCACATATAAATGCATATAAGGAGAGAAACACTAGCTTTTCATGTCTAGAAAGACTCTATAACAAGATTCAGATAATTACCTTGAACTTAGTATCAGGAAGGCTACAAATACCCAAGATAAGAGATGAGCTAACAGTGGCGGCAGTTGGTGGAAACCTATTACAATTTCAGATCATGACCAAACCAAGAAAAAAAAAAGGCAAGAAAAAAAAAACAACCATCTAGCTACATTATGACATTATGAAACTCAGTAACTCCTTTCAAGAATTGCAAGACCCACCTCTCGAAATCATCAAAAACAACAGTATCAGGCACGATCTCACTGAAATTCGCAACGGAGTCTAATTCGGTGCTCAAACCTGTCACAGTTTCTCAACAAATCAACATTTATCCAAATCCACACTCGGATACAACTACGTTATACACTACAACAACAACACCAATATGCACGTTTACCAGGGTCCAGGGACGAAGAGAAGTTCGTAGCAGCTCGTATTGAAGGCAAAAGCAGACGAGTCTCGAACACGAAGCTCGGTTTCATGAATAAAACACGATTCCCCAATTTCTTCTCCTGTTTCAGTTGAGAAAAAAATCATTAATCAAATCAGTTCATTAGAAACTGAATAATTACATATCATAATCAAATCAATTCATGAGAAACTGAATAACATGCATCTACTATGGAAATCAAACCGATCAAACACCCAGAAGCTGAGTAACTGTGAATTATGTAAGTGACCTTACCTTGTGAGAGAAAGAGGAGCTCAGAGCTGATGAGAGCGGAGAATGCAAAGTAGCTGCCATTTTCTCTGTTAGTTTTTTTGTGAAATGGAAAAATGATACAGACAGCTTGAGTGGATGTGTGATTTCTATAGAGTGTAAAATGATCACGCCAGTGAAAGGTACAACTTTTTGTTTATAATGTACAATCTAAATATGAAGTCCATAGCCTGGTAATAGTAATCGTGATGTCTGGGTAAAGTAAAAAGAGATCCATAAATATCGGGTAAGAAAAAAATGATGTGGATAGACGCCACGTGGATCGGCTGGTCTATTTTTATGTTGTTAAAAGTTCTGTCAAGTAATTAAATTGCTAATCAATTTTTTTGTAGTAAGCGTGATTTTAGTCGGCCCTAATCGTCACTCAATTATACATTTTTTTAATAAAAACACGTATTAAGAAAAAATAAGGTAAATGAAATTATAACATTTACAGTGTAAGTATGTTTCTAGAAAAAAAATATATATATATATATATATATCAAACGGCGCAATGCACCTTGGATTGGATCGCTATGAAAACAGTCTCCTTGTATAATTACAAGGGTAAGGTCTTATTAGGTATGTTGTTGTTGTTGTACAGTGTAAGTATGTTCATATTGAAATTGGAATCCTGGCAGTTGAGGTGATAAGCGTCGTAATAAGAAATTGAAATTATAACATTTATATAAGTATGTTTTTTTTTTTAAATATGAACGATTAGGTTGTTCACAAAATAATTTGTGTCAAAACTAATTATATTTTTTACTTTACAAGAAAAGTAATAAATGATATTTAGGTTGGACTTTAACTCACTAATCAAATTTAGTTAAGTACTGATGGCTTGATTGGATACAAATTGTATGACCACTTTTGTTCACATATTTTTTTTAACTCAAAATTTAACTCAACTCGACCTTGTGCATTTGCAAAGATATAAATAACGTATTATGAGTTATTTGTATGCATACCATATTAACATTATAAGTTATATACTGGTATTATATTTTAACATAGAGTATTATGACTTATATTTATGCATATAAAATTAAAATCATAAGTTAGATAATAGAGTTATGTTTTAAAATTTGATCATTGGTTAAAATAAATAGTACATAACTATTTGATTGCATCTGAATGATATTGATTGCATAAAGTGTAATAAACAGTGTAGTTTTTGTAATTTTGAAGGATCATGACCAATTAATTAGCTAAAAAACTATTAAATTTATTATAAGCTTATGCAACTTTAAGGAATTTTACTATGACATTAAAACAAATTATTTTATCAAAAACATATAGCTTAACCGAATAAAAAAATATAATACTGATTTTAGAATAAATAGCTTGAAAAAAGTGTTACAATACAATTTTTTATGTTTATGTAATTCCATATATCATTTAGGATACAAAATTATTAATTTCAATAATACTATTATATGTACAATAAAAAGTATAGTTATTATTCAATTAATATAAAATGTAACATTTTCGACTTAATTAACTCCCAAAAAAAAAGTGTCACGTAGGTATAATTTAAGAAGACAAATTTATGAGGTAAAATTTATGAGATTTTATCTAATGAATTGCTAGCAATTTTATATAATATATATATATTATTAATATTATTAAATAATATCAATCATTCTCACACACTACATCAACTTTAGTTCATTATTAATCCAGTTACATAATTTTAATTATTCATCGCTTCTAATCGATTTTATATTACTCTTACATCAAATTGATTTTATTCATTATATTTAAATATTTTTAATACAAACTCAAAATCTCACTCAAACTTTTTTTTTTTTCAGAACGAAAGAGATATTATATCAAACCTCAATAGAGAACATAGTTCTAATACAAACACGACCCACAGCCGAAAAAGAAAAACAGAGAGGACACGCTCTAGAGCGGCCTAGAGATCCCATAGATGGGATATGACTCCAACAGGGCAAAACACAAGAGTACTAAAAACACAAAAAACAACACAAAGGCCTCAACAGGGTAATACCCGAGTGTCGGGCCCCAACGGGGTAATAAGGTGACACTCGGGCGCACAGGGGCCAACGGCCCAAACCTAAAACACAAAAACGTACACAAATACAGACACAGACATCACAAAACACTAATAACAAATAAAAAATAACATAATAGCCCTTCCTCGGCATACGAACGGTTCCAACCAACGATGAACGATCGACACAGGAAAGATTCAAAGCCAGAGAAAACACTACCGAAACTGCACCAATGCCTATACACCAATTCCTATACAGTAGCCGAACCAGAGCCCCGAACCATCTCCGAATCAACCCATCTCCGACCGAAAGAGAATCGACCAGCCCCCACACCCGCCCACCCGGGCCCGTCTAACACCACTAGTCGAGCCCAAGGTCCCCCGCCGCCTAACACCACTAGCCGAAACAGGGGAGGGTGAGGGTGGTACGGTCCCTCAACCCCGACAGCCGCAGCCAGAAAAGCTGCAGCCAACGGAGTCCCACCCACCCGATGATGCACTCTCCGCCCAACACCACCATAGAGCTCCTACGATCAGAGGCTCTGGCCCCACCAAACAGAGGCGGAGCCCCGCCGGAAGAGGCAGATTCCAAGTATCACAGACAAAGCGAAGTTGAAAGGGCTTACCGTCACCTATCGAAGGTCCATCGTTGACTGAAGAGAAGACTCCAATCTCCGGCCAAACGCCGACATTGAGGGACGCCACCGTCGACCGAAACCTCGTCCGCAACCTAGAATCGGACCGCGCCGCTCGCGGCCCTTCCATAGCAACATCAGTGGTGTGCGTCGTCCAGGAGGGCGGAGCGGTCAAGGACGACCCCTGGCCAAAGCTCCGCCGTCATCGAAGAAGGCCAATCGTCAGTTAATTTAGAGCGACGCCGGCGAGATTGGGGGGTTAGGTTATCGCGAGAGGAATTGGGGATTTTAAAAAAATAAAATAATAATAATAAAAAAAAAAAAAATCTACTCAAACTTAACTCAATAAGCTTTTTCAAAATTAACTATAGTTATCTATTAAATTCAATCAAATTCCAAAAAACTTATATCCAATCACTCCATAAAAGTTGATGAAATATGACTTATGCAAGTGGATTTTGTGAAAAACAATGACTCCTTCCATAAGTTAAGAGTGTGTTTCGTTGGCATTATAAACAAATTTATAGCTTATTTGGTTAACTTTATGTATTCAAATAAGTTTAGTTTGATAGGACGAGCTTTTTAAAAAATGGGTAGTTTTTCAAATAAGTTCGTTTAAATTTTGATTTCAACTGGCTTATCGACAAATATTACGAAACATTATTATCATATCAACTAGTTTTTCTGTCATAAAACATACTCTATTAACTAACTTATCAACTATCGCCTAATTTATCAGTTAGATTTACCAAATATAACATAACAATATTTACATAATCTTTCAAAATGTCCATGCATTGTGAACAATGTTACACAAGTTGATAAGTTTAATAGTATATCAATCTAAACTATTGTGTGGATTTTCATTTTTCTAAAAAAAAAAAAAAATTGCACCAAGTGGCCAAAACAAAAGCAAGCACATTTAGTAATAACTATTAATTACACTATATAACCGGCATAAAAGTATCTTATGCTGCATTTATATATTACTTTACTAGTCGTGATCCATGTGATACACGAGATGATATATTTTTCTAAATTTTTTTTAATATTGAATATTAAATTTAATGGACTTGGTATATATGCAATAAATGTAAACGGGTCGCACAAATTAAAAAATTCATAAATTATTGGACACTTCTTTGTAGATAACATCTTTGGTTTGATTCGGTGCAGAGGCATCGTCACCACAGACTAATAATTTAAATAATTTTAGCATATGGATTCGATAATAATAATTAAAACAATGACAAAAAAAATTATTTACTTCTTCATCATTGATATTTATTTCCAACACATTATTGTACTTGGCTTCTAATTTTCTTTAAAAATACGAACAACCCTTAATTTCAAGTATGGTTTGTTTGTTCGGGAAACCGACTTACACGAGCGACACATTGATATGGTGGAAAAAAATGAAATTAGTCGGATTCTAAATATTAGAGATTGAAAAAAATGATAAACAGATGTGATAAATGATTTGTGTAATTGACTAGTTATATTGATGTAGTAAATTATTTGTGTTAAATGTAATATATGGTTCTAATAAAAAAAAAATTCAAAAATTGTGATGTTTCTATTCGGTCCGACTTATTTTGAAATATAAGATAATAATGAATTTTTTAAATGAGATATTTTACTATTTGCGTTGATTTTTACTAACTTAAAATGAGAAATATTTGAATCCTTTAAGAATTGTTTTAACCGAATTTCCTTAAAATTATGTTACAAATTTGCAAAAGAATTTTTTGTACATATAATTGAATTCTATATCAGAATATAAAATAATTTTAAAAGTGATAAATTTTTTGTTATAGGTAAATGTTCTCTAAAAAAATTGGTAACAATGTATTAGCTTTTTATTACCCAATTGAGTAAAATCCGATGGCATGTGAAATTGAAATTCTTTCACTTGTAGTTTATTTTAGACGTGTTTCTATGAAATAATATAGGTAAAATTATATTTGATTGATGTAGATTTATATTTATCATTTGTTCATATGATTATTTAATTAAATAAGTTTGTTATTTTTTTTTTTCCAAGACGATAGATAATATTATAAATCAAAATGTACAAATGTGCGAATACACAGCAGCGAACAGCTGAAAAAGTGGGAGGACAGGTCAGAAGACCGCCTAGAATCTCGGCTAGCAACGCTAGAATAAAAACATTCGCAACTAAACTAACCAACAACACAAACTACTAAAACAACTAAAAAGTCCCCAACAGGGTAATACCCGAGTGTCGGATCCCAACAGGATAAGAAGTTTGACACTCGGGCTCATAGGGGCCAACGGCCCAAACCAAAAACACAAGACACTGACAACACTAAAAAGAAAACACTAAACAAGAACACAAATAAACTAAAGTAAACTAAAATAAACTAAAAGCCCTTCCCCAGCGAACGAGCTAGCTCGAACCAGCAGTGAACGATCGACACAAGACAAATCCAGGCCAAAGAATCGGCT